AATAATATTCGCACGAATCTATGCAATAATCGTCCTACAACTTGTTGGAGTGCTCACATTACGTGGTCTAGTCCATTATTGATTTTCTCCATAGGATAACCCCAATGAGAAAAGCATGCTTGTTCTGGTTGCGACAGAAAAAAACTAGCATGACTGCACAAATTGAATCATACTAGTTATGTTTGACAGTCACATGACATGTTATTACATGTATGCATGTGTGTGCGTACACACACATGTATTAAATTCAGAACTGCATCCAAAACTATATAAAATTTCCACATTAAATATAAAAATGTAAAACAAGGTTATAAATTTACTGTCAAGTAAAAAAAAGATTCGATATCTGAAGATTAGAGCATTTTATTTCAAATTAAAATCATATAGATTAGATTGATAATACTATCAAAGGCTGGCGTATCCTAGGAAACTATAACAGACTTCTCAGTGTTGAATGATATATGAAAAAAGGGTGTTTAGGATTTTTATCTATTATGTCTTTCTATGTTTTATCATAATCGTATTACAAATCATTAAATAATAATATTCTTGATTTATAAAATAGACTACTTTGATAAGAACAAGCAGAACAGTGCTTGGCAGGATAGAATTTGTCTCCTCATCGTTAATAGTAAGTCACATTGTATATTAAAGAGAGAACATACATACAATTGAATGCAATATTTATATTTGTAACGAAATACGAAGAGAAAGGTAATCCAGTTTCAACTGATCAATTGTCAGAGACTGTTGCGATTGCTCTTTGATATATTTTTAAATACAAAGGAAACAATGGCACCGACATTACCTAAAAAGATGCTCTCAAAATTAACAGAGACAAATAAAGAGGTACATATTTATAACATAATAAGTAAAAAAAAGTAACGTGTCACATTAAAGAAAATTAAAAAATAAAAATTTTACAGCATTCATCTTTAGCAAAGAGTTATATGTCGCGACAAGATTTAGGTGCTGGTGATATGGATTGGATGCGAGGAAAGGTTTTGTTGAGACCAGATGATCAACTGCAGTTAACAGAAGCAGTATGTCTAATGTCTCTCTTGATTTTGCTGTTGAATAGTTATGTATCTAATTTCAAATATCATCCTATAGGAATTACAAGAGGAATTCGCCAGAGTGCTAACTATACATAATACCAGGATACCAGATTCCTTAGTCGAATGGTCATGGAAATTACGTCAATTTGTATCAGTACCTCCTCCACCACATTTAGTAACTCTTCTAAATGTAACTGGCACCATACTACACAAAGACTCTGAAGAAGCCAAAGTGCAATTGGCAGGAGGAACTCTTGGTGAAGTCTCTTTATTTATTGCAATAATTAAATATATGTTAGATGAAATAATTATAAAAGAAGTATATATAAATTTAATAGTTTAGATTTTCATATATATGTATAATAATTATGTATTTTTTTTTTTAAACAATTATAATTTCATATTCAGTTGAGGATCAGGAGGAGACAACAGATGAGAAATTAAAGCGTGATGAAGCAGAAGAAGAAGCAGAATATGAAGAAGAAGAAGAAGAAGGTAAGTACAGAAAACATGGATAATTACACATTACATGATTTAACAAATCACACATTTGATATTCTTTTAAATAAAAACATAATTACATATTCCATAAGAACAGTAGAAGAAATAGACAAAACGGTAGAAGCGCTAGCTGAGGCCGAACGTGAACACGAGTTGGAAGCTGAGCCGGAACCTGAGGAAGATGAAATAGAAAAGATAAAGCCCAAGAAAATACCTAATCAATTTAACTTCTGTGAGAGAGCAGCGTTGACATATGATAATCCTATGAGGGCACGTATATTCTCTTCTATGTATTAAACATATTTAAACTCTTGCTTATAGATATAAAAAGTAAATTAAATAAACCTTGCAGGATATGAGTACACAAACTATACCTCCACCTACTGCGACTTTCAATGCCAATGTTTTTCAATGGACTATCTTTGACGAATATCAGGTAAAAACACAAAAAGTTCTCTTCCAATTAATTATTAATACATTATTTTATTTCTGACAGAATATTATATATGCGTCACTTGATATTACACTCAGCATGTTATCACGCAGAATAACATCTTTATTTAAAAGATATAAACATAGAAAATAGAAATATTATACAAAAGTCTGACCTTTCTTATTTTGTCGACAGGAAGACTATGCTCAACAACAACGCGAAAAGGAAAAGGAAAAGAAAGCCCCATTGGCACAACCAAAGAAAGAAGACATGAAGAAAAAAGCCCAACTAGAATCTTCAGCAATGACAAACAGAATGTTACAAGCTGTAAAAACGTTAGAGCGAATGGTGAACCAAAACATTTTTGACGATATATCGCAAGGTAGACTTTTGATTCTTTCTTCGATGAAATCTCAGTCTCAAGTATACATTTCTTTAATTGTTGTTAGATTATAGGTATTGGGATGATCCGAGCGATGAATTCAAGGAAGGCGAAGGCTCCTTATTACCTCTGTGGAAATTTTCGTACGAAAAGACTAAGAAACATGATATTACGGACATGTGCTTTAATAGTAGATATTATGATCTCTTTGCAGTCGCCTTTGGATCACGTTAGTAGAATACACATATTTTAATTTTTATAATATTTAAGTTTACAAATAAGAATTATAATGTATGTATTCTAGTATCATTTAATAGTCCAATAACAAATGGCACAGTCTGCTTATTCAGCTTGAAGAATCCATCATATCCAGAATGGATTTGTCCGACAGAATCTCCCGTGATGTGCCTGGATTTTAATGCTCAACATCCTCATCTTTTAGTTATTGGTGTGAAATAATACCATTCCAAATATTTAATTGCATTATAAAGATATTTATTTAGAAGTATAAATTTTGAAAATGAAAATCTTTTAATAAAATGTTTACATTAGTTTGTAATCTAGTTTCTAAAGTGATTGTTATGTCATTACTGTATGCTAACATTAATTTATTAACTAAGGTACCATGGATGGAGCAGTGGCGGTTTATAACGTAATGTTACCACCATCCACACCGCAATACAAAAGCAACGACGTTGTGCAGAAGCATGGAGGGTTAGTATGGGAGGTCCGTTGAATATTTTAACTCTAATACTTTACGACAAAACTGAGAATTTCATGAGAAAAACTTTCAACAAAATTAAAAAAATATATGTACTGATTACAGATTCGTTGGGCACCTGATACAGAGGAGGGAAATCTGGCGTTCTTTAGCGTTAGTATCGACGGTAAAATAAATCACTGGGTATTAAACCAGAACGATCTCGGTCTCACTACCATTATGACGTTATTCCTGGACCAACCACCTATACCGGGACCAGATGGCACGATGATTACGCTGAAAGGTAATGATAAAAGGAAACCAGAGATCATTATGTTTCATAATAATTATGCAAACCGTTTAAATCTAGGATGCGGAACGTGCATTGCATTTCATCCTGCTGATCAGAATGTTTTCCTGGTGGGCACAGAGGAGGGTACAATGTACAAATGCAATACAGCGTACAGCAGCATTTATATGAGGACGTATCACGAAGCACACACCATGCCGGTATATCGAATAGTATTCAACAAGTACAATTCCAGCATTTTCGCCAGCTGTTCAGGCGACTGGAGAATCAAGATCTGGGAAGACGAAAGACCGTAAGTTACATCTTCATAATTACACAAATTTTTATTATATCAATACTTTGTACGCAGAGAACCTTTGTTCATGTTCGATCTGGGTGTTCCAATTGGAGATGTTCAATGGGCACCGTACAGCTCTACGGTGTTGGCTTGCGTATCAAATGATGGCAAAGTTATAGTGTTTGATTTGAATGTTAACAAATACAGACCAATCTGCAGTCAGCAAATCGTCAGTAAACGAAAAAACAAATTGACCCGATTAGCTTTTAATAACGCTTTGCCGTTTATAATAGTTGGCGATGATAAGTGAGTATTATCTATTTAATTAAAAAAAACTTGTATAGTCTTAAAAATATATTTCATATAATTTGTAATTCGTTTACTCAATATCTAATTTCGCAGAGGTACCGTGAATACATTGAAACTATCTCCAAATTTACGGATAAAGGTAAAACCAACGAAGAAGCAACTACATTTGTCGCATACGGAATTAGAATCTATGAAATTAGAAAAGTTGCTCAGTTTTGTGCGAGAGCCACCCGTACTGACTCCACCTAAAGACATAAGAACAGTTACTTAAAACTGAACGAATAAGAACACGGATTGCAACCTTTTATGAACAACAGTGCTTTATTAATATTTGCTATAACAGACGGATACATATCTATATTTTTACAAATAAATTGGCACTATAATTATACAATAGAAAGATCAACTAGTTCTATGAAGTAGTTTATGTACCTGACTCTTATTGCCGAAAAAAGATCATTGTAACAAATAGAATAATTCAACACCTCACTGCTTACAACAAGAAAGAGAGAGAGAGAGAGAGAGAGAGAGAGAGAGAGAGAGAGAGAAAGAGAGAGAGAGAGAGAGAGAGAGAGAGAGAAAGTAAATAAAATGATTTTAATTAAAATGATTCAGATAAAATATTATTTAAACGTAATAAATACAATTAACATATTTATTTTTAAATGCTTTCTCTCATTCTGTTTAAAAAATTATAATCGCAGAACTTGACCAATCAAATTCCTACTATATATATGTATAAATATTTATGAAATATTTTTCATGTTTTATAGTCCAAGATACATTATTAAATGCCACTATTTGATAAATAAAATATTTAAAAAATATTATGAGATCAGATCTGTGCTTTTTAATATATATTTTTAATATTAAATATTTAAATCTCTATAATACAATATATATCCCAATACTATAATATCCATTAATAAATAATAAAAAATTTAGAAAGTTAGTACAATGAAAATGTATTGAAAAATGTGTCAACATTTATATCTACAAATCTAGTTAAAAATACTGAATTTATTTGGCACAATATATTAACAGGTCATGCAAGAAGAAAATTTATGACTTTTACTATGTTGAGTTGTTCAAAGATAACAACAATTATTTGTCATCATTTCTTACTAAAGTAGGGTCCGAATAAGGCAATAGAAATGTTTACAAGTCTTCACTGTAGACGAAAGACATTATCAAATTGTAATTTTTATTTAGATATTAACGTTTTCATGCATAGATAATTCCTAATGTCGTTAAATACGTAATGTTTCAATATAGTCATCAATTCGATAGCGATAAACGTAGCTTGACTCTTGAAGCATCGATTTCTGCAAAATTAAGCAACAATACGTCGTACGTTACTGCGAATAATCTTGTACAATTAATCTAAAATGGACTAATCAAAGACAAATTTACCCGGTAATTCTGGATTCTCTATCACCCCCTTAAAGTATTTAAGCTCTAAGAAGTCTCTAATATTATTTGGACATGGCACTTGTTTACCGGCGAACTCGATGCTAGACATCGGATGAAGAAAGTGCTCTGGGAAGTCCCGATTCTTCAGAAACCACGCGTCCTTCGTCATGGATCCGTTGCGCGTATAGAACGGCAGCAGATTCACGTGCAAACGGTTCACCTTGGAGTACTGTACCTTGAAGAACTCGCCCTCCGTCGCCTTCTCCCAAATGAAACCGTCATCATCAACGACTGGCTTGCTCTTAGCTCTGACCAACCACGGCGATCTCGCCAAATCGTCTCGGTTCAATCCGATTTGTACCTCGTGATCCCACGGTAGGATATCGCCATGCCTCATCGCTCCTAGCAATGATTGGCCCTCCAACCAGAATCGTATGCCGACCTCCTCCAGTTTGTCGATAACGTGAGAGGTGACTTTTCTCAATCCGGCCAAACAACAGGGCGGCGTGTATCGATGTTGATAGAGATACGACGGCACACCGTTTATTACTGAACCAAAACATCTCGAAGTTTCTCGCGAACAACCGTACCACTCCACGGAGCCGGAAGACCTTGTAACTTTCTTTATCCCCAATTTCTGGAACATCAATCGCTCACGCGTACGATACAGCTGCTGCACCTTGGACTGTGCCTGTTGGTTTCTGTACAACGGCTTTCCTTCGTTGAACTGATAGTTTTTCAATATATGTACCTAACAATAAATATACAATGTATATTACGAAATATAATACAATATATATTTTAAAAAAACATAAATATTCAATTAATTGAATTTTTTTTTTTTTAAGATAAATTTGAATTTTTTTTCTTAACACAGAGAAAACGAATAAAATAAATATTAATAATTCTTAAAGGAAATACATAATAAATAAAAAGTACTTACCAAATTAAAAGATTTAAAAGTAAAAAATTTAAATACAAAGAACACTCTGCACTAACTATATGAAAAATTGGATTCCCAAAGTTAGTTTTCACATAAAATTAATACAGAGTGCAATTATATAGTAAATTGAATCTGGGTTACATCTTATGTAAATACTAATTCATTTCACTGGGATCCAATTATCTATATAATTAATATGGGGTCCTTTATACACTCACACACTGCCACCAGAACACAAAATTGAAGATAAAATATTCACGAACTAATCACGAAATCCTTGTATGATATAATGTCTTCATATTTAATTATACAAATCCAATTAGATATAAATAACAAAACCACATTAATATGTTGCACAGAAACAGATTAATAAATTTATTACTCAATAAATTATATTTAAAAAAAAATAAAATAAGGAGGCAATACATAATTATCTTAAATTAGACAAAATGGATTACCTTCGCACCAATAGCTGTTGTCTGAATGTACAACGCGTCCGTGAAAGGCAGCAAGAATGGATCTGACAATCTTCTCAAAATTTTTGCCTCAAGCATAGTAACATGTTTGCCTATTACACTATCACATTCCATTCCCATAACTCGTGCTATCTTCAAACTCCATTCTCTCACTTTTAAATCTAATTCAAGACAATGTAAGGCTATCTTTCCCACTGGTACAATAACAATCCCTAAATTTGACACTTGCGCGATAGTATCCTGTAAAACATACATCAAAGAGAATAACAAATTACTGTTGTAAAAAAGCGTTTTCTAAATATCACAACAAATCACAACAAAGGATATTTACCTGTATAACTTGCTTATTCGACAATCTTGTTGCATCAGGTAAGAATAGAACAAACTTGGTACGTATATAGAAGAGTGGATTCCTTTCCTCGGAGGACTTATTGAACTCGGGCTTTAAGCTGATCAGTTTGACATTCCTCATACTCTCGTTGGCAAAGTCCAGCTCCAGTGGCGGATAGGGCAATTCATCGCAGACTATCAAGACGGGTATCCCTGGGAAAGAATTCAAAACTGACTCCACCATGGATGCCACATCGTTTTCGAAATTCTCGAACTGTCTGATGACAATGGTGACCAGATGGCCCAGACACTGTTGGTGTTTCTGTGGGTCTTTCTCGTTTGTCGTGACGCTCGGCGTCAGCAAGCCCAGGGTGTTTTGTTCCATGGATAGTCGCCATATCCTATGCCAGACGATGAGGTTGCCTAACAGCGCGAGGATCAGAAGCGCCCTGACGAATTTCAGGCGCATTATTACGGCACGCGATGCGGTCCCATCTTACATCTTATATTATATTATACACGAACAGCGCGTATCCTCACAGCGTCCCGGTGTCAAGCTTCGCCATCGAGCTGCAGCGTCAAACATTTGACAATTCGGAATGTTTTTATCATGCTGAAACCTGGAATGACGGCCAATGATAGTCTTCACGGGTCATCTCGATGAGTTGTCGTGTTACGAAATTAACAAGCGCATGAATGTTTCATTTTATATTTGGTAAAGACACTCACGAAGTTGTTACGTCAACTTGCGTCAACTTTTGAGAGTTTTGAGGTTAGGATAAGCCAGCTTTGATTATCGATGAATCGAATGCGATTGTTCTTGAGTCGATATTCAATTTTTTTCCCTGATTATTTTCACCTCGATTAATCGACTTCTAACGTTTCACGTAGGTGTTGATTTACCGCTTTGAAGCAAATTAAAATAAATCAGTTGATGCGTTCAGTGATTCTTTAATATGATTGGTCTTGTCCCTTAGTTCCTCACTGGATCTGAATGCATAAACCAATTATATGAAAGAATTTTGCAATAGTTGCAAAACTGCATTTTCTGCTGAACGCAGTGTGAATTGTGTCCAAGGCTTTAGTTTTCTTACATCATGGCTGATTCGTCATCCGTCATTTCGCGTTAAACGTCAAATCTGGTTAGATCTCTGACCGCGCGACATAGGTTTACGTGCTTTTGCTCGTCGGCGAGAGAAACGCAAAACCATCGAGCATGCCGCTGCATCGGTACACGCACGCAATCCTCTGCAGGATCCCGTTGTCGCTACGTACACGGGGTGAGGTAACATTAGACGATGCCAGGACGCAGCACTTGGCCCTGGCGCAGCTTCTCCGCGAGCTCGACATCGATGTCGTCGAGATGCCGCCCGATGAGAATTCGCCGCTTTGCGTCTTCGTCGAAGATATCGCCGTCGTTTGCAACGGCATTGCCCTGATTGCCCATCCAAGCGAACCGTCTCGCCTCAAAGAGGTATAATACACAATTCAGATCTTATTAAAAATTAAAATTGATTTGTATTGACTAATTGAGTTAGAATTCATGATAATAATAATGATGATTTAACGTCTTTGGACCAAGTTTCGAACTTAGTTTCTTCATTGCTCGCTTTTAAAGCATTCTTTCGTGTTTTTTCAGCTCGATACTATCAGAGCTGTGTTGAAAAAAGAGTTAGAGATACCATTGATAGAAATAAGCGACAAAAATGCTCGCTTAGATGGTGGAGATGTGCTTTTTACTGGTAAATTTTAGTTTGCATATTTAATATTTGCTTTGATATTCCATACTTGTGCTTTTAAATATATGTAAATATCAGAAATATTTTATAAATTTTTACATTTACTAATGCAAAAATATTTCGTCACAGGTAGAGAATTCTTTGTTGGACTGTCTCATTTTACAAATGAAGCAGGAGCACGAGCAGTTGCTGCAGCATTTCCAGAATATCCATGTGTACCTATCAAGGTCGGTAATCTTGCAGATTAACACATCTATAGCAACTAACATTTTTAAGAATTATTAATATCTCCTTTCAAACATTCACAAATTTCTCATTACATACTAATGTATATCGCATGTCTCATTAAATTTAACATTTGATGTTAAAATCATAAAGATGTACTAGTATGGATGATTTCGTGCTATGCACAAGAATAATCTTAAACCTTAAATATGTGTTTAAATTAAAAAGGACGATATTTTGTCTACACACAATGTTCTTTGTACTTATGTTTTTTATCTTAACTATTTTACAAAACGTATATTAAAGATTAGTAATATCTTGTTAGAGATGACTTTGTAATTTTTGTGTCTATATTTCTGAAAGCATTTTATATCTTATATCTTAATCGTATGATAGTATTTCATTCTTATTAGAAGCTACTTCAGAAATTAATTTAATACTGAGATGTAATATATTTACTGTTAACTTTTTTGATTGCTTTTCAGTACTGATTTTATTCTTAAAATAGATCCAATTTAAGATAAAACCCTTTATATGTAATAAATGCATGTTTCAGTCTGTTAGTAACAATGAAAGTTTTGTATTTATTCACAGCACACATTGTACATTTATAAAAGGTATAATAAGTATATATACCTTACGGATTTGCGTCATACTTCAACAGAATATCATGCTCACTCACCTTACTTTTCTAATGTTCATTTAAGGTGGGTGATGGTGGCGAAGAGGTGATAGTGGAGAGTCTTACCTCAGCCCCTCTTCAGGTTTGGGTGCACTAAACTGACCCTCTTAATATGTCATTAAAGAAAAATTTAACAAAAGAAAAGAAATAAAATGAATATTTTCACAGGCTAGAAACGCAAACTTGCACGATTTTGAAAAACTTTTTTTCGTATGTAATAATTTGAGAATTTTACGAACTGCTTTTTTGAAATTGTAATAAGTTACACAAGTTCTAGCTTATCACTTGAACCGTGCACTTGAACAGTACCACGAATCTTATTCACTCACCTTAGCATGCATATGATTTAACGTTTAACTTTAAGCAAAATGTTTAAAGGCATTACTCATTTTGTTCATAAATTATCGTTGTATAAATATGTATTATGTATATTATAAACTCATTGTGTATGCACTTTTCAGATAACATATTTATATTTTACTATTTACAATACAAAACACTGTGCACGATTTGCTGGCACATTAAGAATTATTATGGACAACATAATAATGCATTAAGATTGTATTAAGATTATAATAAATGTTTTAATATAAACGTTTTAAAAACACATCAAATATTTTTTTTTTAATTAAAAATATACGAATTAAAAAGAAAAAAAAGAGAAGTTATTTTATTGAATAAAATAGTTTGTAGTTTTCGTTGATAAAATTTAATTTAATAATGATTTTCTAATTCTAATTTATTCAAGTGATGTGATAGTGAATTAAGAATATGATATATGAAATATAATAATAAAATGACTACATGTTGATTATATAGTGCATTACAATACTTGTTTATTTTCGCCTATAATTTTTGAGATAGTAATTCAATACTTCTCTGCTTAGGTGGCTGAATCCAAACGTTTAAAATCGCTGGTTACAATGGCCGGACCAGATGTTATATGTGTAGGGGCTGGAAAAGAATCTCAGGAAGTTCTCAAGGTTAGTCTTAATTTAGAGTAAATAAAAGTCACTTTGAGAAAGATACTGTTCCAAAATTCTATCATTTATAGCAAATTTGCTTTCACTCGGACTTGCTATATGACAGACGAATACTGTTACTGTTTTTATGGAATTAAGTCTTTTTTTAAATTAATTATTTAATTATAGAAAAGTTTTGATTTTTATTTTTCTAATTTACAATCTAGAGAATCGAGCGAGAAGCAACATACAATTACCAAACATTGACTGTACCCGAGGACGTAGCCGCCAACGTGCTCTATGTGAACGGCACTCTCATTCATCGGTCGGAAGACGAAATTCCACAATCAAGTAAGGTGTTCGCTGAGAAGGTGGAGTTCCCGACTAGATCATTGCGTTTATCCGAATTGGCGAAAGTTAGCTCCGGTTTGTCCTCCTGTTGCTTGTTGGTGCGCAGACCGCGGCATATCCGTAGCATTTAAACGCGAAAGGAGAATAAGATCTATCTTGCGATGTAATCGCAATTTATGCCACCAGTGCTATCCGCGAAACGTAAAATCGAATTTTCTTCTATCGAATCTGCGGAAAAATACGATGCAATTCATGACGATGATAATTTGTCATCCTGACATTTTGATAGTATTTTTTAAATTAATTTTTTAAAAGTTACTGTATCATTTTATATCTTGCAAGAAAAGGATTTAGTATTTGAAGAGATTAATATATATATATATAAACACACACATACATATATAATATATAATTTTTATATATTTAGAGTAGAAAAGTAATATATTCAAATTTGGTATTAGTTATTTATGTTTATGCTTTTTGCCAGAGATAATCTCTCTATTCTTGTCATTTATTTAATTTTTTGTTCAAAAAATTTTTCGTTTTTTATATGTGACTTTCATTTATAGCTGCAGCTATAAATTTTTTACTAAGTATTTGTAAGTATTTTTTTGTTTTATTTATTGCTTACTTTATGCATTTTTTCCTACGATATCCCAAAAAATATATTATAGAGTAAAACTACGCCATTTACATCTTGTAGTTCTCAACGGGATTAATCTTTATAAACATGGCACATAACACAATATGGCACAAATCCGATTTTATATATACACTATATGCATATAAAGGGGTTGGAATATTGATTTTTATTATGGTATAAAATTGAATCAAAATTAATTTGTAATTCAAATTATAATTAAGAATGCACTAACGTACACACGCAACAATAAATTATTTGTAATCTGCAAGGCTTACGTAATCAGGAAGAAAGTGATCGTGCACTATCAGTATTCTGACTCCTGCAACGCATTCGCAACTAGTCTGAAACGTGTTCACATCGAAGCATTCAAATAAATATCTCTCTATCATCTATAATGTATCGCAAAGTTATCGATAATATAAAAGCACTGATAGTTGTTATATTATAACGAAGTTACGTAATTAAAAGTTTAAACAGAAATCGATATAAAATTTCTGTGTGAAACTTCTATGAGATATTATGCTATATACTTGAAACATCGCGATACCTCCGATTAGTATCGCAGTGGTAAAAGACGTGAAATAGAATTACGATATACTTTGACACTATAAGTGTCGCTGTGACAATTTAGCATTTTGTACTACTGTAATGTTTAGGTAATCCTATAGCATACGTCTGTAATGCTTTTACAACTTTTTTATGCGTTCGCTCTATTTTATAAACATTAACATTTATTTTTTACACTAATTTTTTATGATGGAACTTGATGCTTTTATAAATACTGTCAATATTATAAAACAAACCAAAATAAGCAGATCTTTTAATGCAATTAATGTGCAGTATTTACAGAATTTATTACAATTTTGTTTTGTATTCAAAGATTGTCAAGAGCTTATAAGTTCGCATATATGTATAGAAATATAAAAGTTTATAGAAAAAGACAATCGGTCTTTTTATTGTTAGATATATAAGGTGCAGTTTTATAAGTCACCGATACAAATGTTGCAGAAATTCTTTGAATTCCTATATAAAACAGAGTGTTTTTAAGATAATATTATGCACAAAAAGTTTGCATAAAAAACATTGAAATAATACTACAGATAATCACTTTACTTTAGATATTTATAAAATGTGATTGATCTTTTCATA